TCCTGAGAATGATGGTTTCCAGCTTCATCCATGTCCCTGCAAAGGACATGAACTCACACTTTTTATGGCTGCATAGTATTCCATTGTGTATATATGACACTTTTTCCTTACCCAGTCTATCTTTGATGGGTATTTGGGTTGGTTCCATGTCTTTGCTATTATGAACAGTGCTGCAGTAAACATACATGTGCATGTGTCTTTACAGTAGAATGATTTATAATCCTTTGGATCTATTCCTGATTCCTCAAGGATCTGGAACTAGAAATATCATATGACCCAGCAATCCCAGGTTATCTTCTTAAAGAATATAGATACTGTGTCCTTGGACAGAGGATGGAAAGCACACATTTGCAAGCACTCTTATCTGCAACAACAACCCATTTTGAAATTTTTGCCCTGATGCTTATCATATGCTCCCAGATTTATTCTTCACCTCTAGATTTCAGAGCTCAAGATGCTGCTTCCTCTTGGCTCTCATGTGGCTTTGCTCAAAGATCTCTTGTTCCAAACCATCAGACCTCCTAGGGCTATTACTGATGTCATACAATGTGGCAATAAATTACAGTACAAGAAATTTTGCAAAGAAAATCTTCATAAATGAAATGTGAGAGAATAAAAAATGGTAAAAGTTTTATCCTTTATAAAGGGATATCAAAGTGGTTCTCAACTAGGAAATGATTGTGCCTCCCAGAGACACTTTGCAATATCTAGAGAATTTTTTGCTGTCACATCTGTAGAGGCTGCTGTTACTGGCATCTAGAGAGTAGAGGCCAAGGATGCTGCTGAACGTCTTCCAATGCACAAGATAGCTACCCGTGACAAAGAATTATCTGGCTCAAAAGGCCCTTAGTTCTGGGATTCAGAAAACCCAGGCTAAAGTCAGGGTTTAATTAGAAATTTGTCTTTAATTAGGAATTTGCTTCTCTGGATATTGCCACATCCCTCCTCTCTAAACATAACATATTCTTTCTATCTGAGACAAAACTTTTGATATTGCAACAACAAAGGAATACTAACAGAAATATACAGTAAGAACAGTCAATAGCTTTGCCACAATAGCCACCAAAACTCTTGAGAAAGTCCAATCTTTTAACTGTCATTTGTTACCTGATTAAAAGAGAAGAAAATTGACTCCCTCCTAGGAGGATCTACTAGTGATTTGCTCATTCTCTTTCAAAAGAACTGAATCTTACAAGCTTAACCACAATTTAGTCTCAGAAAGTTAGAATATCTGCATCATACTTGTTTCTTTTTAATGTTGACCTCAATTTTTAATACTCCCGAGAGCCTGAAGAGTGTACAGAACGCCATATCTTGTTCTTCTAAACAGAAGCAGAGCCAATAACATAGGGTACTTTATAAACCAAATAATGTCTGGTGTCCTGAAGCTAAAGAAACTATTGGCACATCTCACAGAGTCACAGCTGTTTCAGTCTTATTTAGTGATTCGTCCCACTCCCTGCAGTCCAGTCTGCCTTTTGAAATATAGCACAGTTAGCTATTCTGCAGCATGTGATTAAAGCCACTGACAAGGGAAGTTTTCCTTATGTGTTAGCTCTTTGTCTGAAAAGCTTTGGTAATCTTGACAAGTACTCTTACAAAATACAGATTACTTCCTTGAAAAGAAGCTGCATAGAGATTTCTTCATGTACACATGATTGTGCATATTTTTATCAACAAACTAAATATACTTTAGCATCATGAAGATAAAATGGTACCTTTCTAAGATGAAAAAAAGAAGTTGAACAAATTTAACCACATGCAATGCCATTTTAAGAAAGGATTTCTGTGACTTCATTCGCTTACCATGTGCATTTTTAGGTTGCAAAACAGTCTGCCAGCAACCCTTCTGAGTCAGACCTTTCTTACAGCAGAGGCCTGTCCCAGAGGACTAAAGAGCTTAAAAATTGGTGAAGATGCCATATTTCGACATAAGACAGCTGTGTGTAAACTGGAAGTGGGGCAAAAGGTGACATGAGTATAGACAGTCCAAACTCCTCCAACAGGCCAATGGAACAGTAAGAAATAGTTACAGTTCTTTGCATAAATGTCAAGAAAATAATTCCTTTGGGAAAAATTCATTCATTTAGGAAATTGTTTAATAAGAAGCAAGAACATTATGGTAATGCCCAGAAAACCATTGGCAATAAATCATTCAATAGTAGACATTGACTATATTTCACCCATACTCCAAAACACAATTTTTTATCATTATGCTTTGAGTTCTGAGATACATGTGCAGAACATGCAGGTTTGTTATAGGTATAAATGTGCCATGGTGTTTTGCTGCACCCATCAACCCATCATCTACATTATTTATTTCTCCTAATGCTATCCCTCCCCTAGCCACCCACCCCATGACAGGCCTGGTATGTGATGTTCCCCTCCCTGTGTCCATGTGTTCTCATTGTTCAACTCCCACTTATGAGTGAGAACATGCAGTGTCTGGTTTTCTGTTCTTGTGCAAAACATAATTTTAAAAGTAACTATCTGAGATATTTTGTATTTTACAGCAAATGAACCAGGTAACTGATAATTTTTAATAAATTAAAGTTGAAGTGAAACTAAACTCAAAGGCTGTAATTCTATGGTTGATTAAGTGAGCGATAGCGAATTTGGAGTTGATGGTATGGGCTGAAAATGTTTAAGGATTGCCAAAGTAAATGCTCTCTCAACTTCCATTGCTAAATAAAATATCTCATTATTCTTTACCAAAACCTAAGTTTTCACCTTTGTATAAAAACAAAACTTGTAAAATACATTAGGTGAAGATTTTTTGACTCCAAGTAACATAATTTCCCATCTTCTTAAGTACTCTGGAAAGCAAGTTTTCTTAACCTGGGAGACCATAGACTTGGGAGGGAAGAGTTCCATAAGTGGTTATCTGTAGATCTGAGAGCCCCAGGAAACTATGTGCAAAACTATATAGAGAGCTAAACATTTAATCAGCTTCTCACTGAGATCCAGATCTCATAAAAGGCTAAATAGCCCTGGTACAACACAGAATATAAATTAATGCATTTTTGATTAATCAGTATATTCATCAGGTTGCAAAACTGTGTTCATCTCTTATTGTACCTTGACACTGGAACATGGTGATGTCTGCAGAATATATTGAGATGATTAGGTCTACTCCTTTAGCCACAAAGTGACTCTGAACTATTGTTTCAAGCAGTAATCATTGACAGTACACTACAGATAGGCAAATTCTTACTGTGAGTACCAATATCCTTCTCTAGCCTAATAAGAGTTTATTTCTGGACACTTCTAAAAAAATTTGTTTTCCTACATTTTTGCTACTAAAAATATAAAGCCTAATTACAGGTCTTGATTGATAGTTAACATGTTGAAAATTTACTTATTAATTTGTGTATCTGCATTGTTTAACAGAACATAACACAGTAAATTCTCAATCAACTGTGCAATGTAATTATCAAAAGTTTCATAATATGAGCAACTTTCTTGTTTATTCTGCTCTAAATGTTCATAAAACAGTGTCCTAAAATTATTACTACATATGAATATGCCTATGTAAGAACTTCAGGGTTTACAAACTTGGGATTTCTTATTTTATGTTGGTAGATAATAAATCCCTGAGAAAGTCTTGACTTTCCAACTTTCTAAGTCATTTCAACACAGAAGATTTTAGGTCAACAGTTTGTATAGATTGAGGCAAGTCACTTTTCTTCTCTAAGCCTTAGTTTCCCCACCAGGAGAATGACGTTGTTGGAAAAGATGCTGACTTCATGGCCCCATTCTATTATAAAATTGTGTAAGTCAGCCAAGTGTGGTGGCTCACACCTGTAATCCCAGCACTTTGGGAGGCCCAGACAGGCAGATCACCTGATGGCAGGAGTTAAAAACCAGCCTGGCCAACATAGTGAAACCCCATCTCTGCTAAAAATAGAAAAACTATGCAGGTGTGGTGGCAGGCAACTGTAATCCGAGCTACTAAGGAGACTGAGGAAAGAGAATCCCTTGAACCCAGAAGGCAGAGGTTGCAGTGAGCTGAGATCATGCCACTGCACTTCAGCCTGGGCAACACAACAAGACTCCATCTTGAAAAAAAATTTTTTTAATGTATAAGTCTGTATTTTGAAACTTTGTTAAAGTAAAATTTTTAAAAATTTAAAATCACATAACTCAAGCAAATAAAATTATATGGCTCTGTGGTCAAAAGATTATTAAAGCAAAATTTTCAAAAGATGAAAAACTGATTCCTAGGAAAATGTAAAATCAATAGATTATAAAGATTTTTTTCAAATAACCAATTAATGATGGAACCAGTAAGATGGTAAAAACCATTTAAAAGAGTATTTCAAAATCCAAATATCTATAGGCAATATTAAGATTGTCGGACTACACTGAAAATGGCTAATGCCCAACAGTTAATAAACTGTAATCGTTGAGGTTATCTCTTGCACTAGAAGGAAATTATTTGCATCTCTATGGAGCAAAAGTCTACAAGTCAACCTCTGCCGACCTGCATTGTTCAGTAGCCCATTTAATAGAAAATTAAGCCCAGCATTGCACTGAATGAACACCCAAAACCTCTCTCCTGGCTATTTCCAAGTTTCATATAATTTTTCTGACAAGTCAATTCTTTCTTTTTATTTTTTCCTTTTTCAACCTTTATTTCAGATACAGGGGTACATGTGCAGGGTTGTTCCTGGGTATACTGCATGATGCTGAGGTTTGGGATGTGAATGATCTCATCACCGAGGTACTGAGCATAGTACCCAAGAGTTAGTTTTTCAACATTTGTCTCCCTCTAGTCATCCCAAGTGTCAATTGTTGTCATCTTTACCTGACGAGACAATTCTAGTTATCTCCCATGAATGAAAGTTCTTATTGTTTATGATACTTAATTTTTAGAAAAGGTCTTTAACACCTTTATTTGACCCATGTTCAATTTCCATATAATTTTCAGATGAATGCTCTAAATGTGTCTTACCTTCTTGTATGCTGATCTAAACATAAGAATTTCATAAGACAGTGTGTAAATAAATCTACATATAGGTATTAAATTCATTATATATAAGGTAAAGTATATTTAATAGCACAGTAGAATAAACAGGCTATGATTACAAGTCCTAAGATTATAAATATAATAATGATATCAAATATATGCACACACAAACACAATCCAACAGAATTCTTGACACTATTTCTTTTTCATGGATAAAGGTAGCAAACACTCCTCTATACCTAACTTTTAAAAACACATCTACAAAAGCAAATGAACTCATCTGCAAAATAAAAAGCACATATCTTTAATTTCTAATGTTTTATTATAGATTTTTAAGATACATATTTATTTTCAATTCATTAGCTTAAAGAAAGTTACACAAGAATAAGCTTTTGCATGCCTCCTAAAGTAAATATTATACTTTAAATTTGTTATGAAGCTATAAATAAAACACATATTGTGCTTACATGAATGAAACCACAGCATAATCTGAGTGCATTTGAAATGCAGAGTATTCTCATTGTTTCAATAAGACAAAAGAAAAACATTACCTATTAGAATTAAAAACCTGACCTTCAGCTATTCATTAGTCAAAAATAATTCATCATGACTCACTGATTACAGAACAAAATTGTTTAAAAGCAAAAGTGACTAAAATAAACATGTTCTTGGGCCTTTCATTTAATATGCATTTTGGAATCACTGGAGGCAAATAAACAAAGTGAAACCCTCATGTGGGAGGACCAGGCTGCCAACAGCATTTTAGCTGAGACTCAACATTAAAGCCAGCTTCTAAAAAGCCTGTGAGTCCTACCAGCAATGTGATAAATTTAAATCGAGATGGTAAAAAATAATTTAAAGCAGTAAAAGTGTAGATATGCCATCTTGGTAAGACAAGGTGTCAGGCAATTTGCCAAAAGAGTTATTTCAAGTCAGTGCCTCAGTCAAAGTAGAATTCCAGTCTCCAAACTTTTGTTAGGCTAATTTTCATTAAGCAGATGATTATGAGAGAAGAAACGGATCTTAAAAATCCCAATGACGGTTAATAAAAGTGGAGATTCAGAAGAGCCGAGGAGTTCTATAAATTTTTAGGAGCAGAGGGAGGCACTCAGGTCTACAGAGGGAAAATTGAAGAGGAAGATGGTCTAAAGCTCAGTTGCCCAATGGGCAAGCACAGCCCACAAGGGTACTAAAGGTAGTGCATGAATGTGAGCCTAGAAAAGCTGTAATTAGAAGATCAAATGATCTCTCTCTCCTTGGTCCATCTTCTCTTAATCTTAACACATTATTTTGACATTTTGCCCTACACTTGTATCAATTAGAGCTATAGTTTTTTTTTCAAATCTTGCCTCTATTGTAATGTCATTCATAGTTCTCTTTCACACAGATACTGAGTTAACCAGAACAAAGAAAATGTGGTGTACTGAGAAAAGACAGGACAGAATGTATTGTAAACATTCTCAATTTGTATTTTTAAACTTTCAGGAAATGAGAAAGTCACAAATTGAACTTTTAAATATGGAGTGGGTTGTATAAGGGCAGGAGGATAATGGTAATCTATCCTGAATTTGAAACCTGTGTGAATAACTGCCATACGTGATGATCTTCGGTATTGGCAAAGGACATAAAGACAGAACACGTGAACCTACTTGTCCATGTCTTCCAATCTAATTTAAAATGTGTTAGAAGGAGTTTGGAAAGGATGATTTGAGGCTTAATATTGTCCCAATTTACTGTTTTAGTTCTAGTCATGTGCCTTCACTGAGGAAAGTTGATCAGAGGCAGGTTTTAACTTATTTTGTTCATATTACACATGTTGAAATAAGCCAGATAATATATTGAAACACACTCAATATCTAGACCAATTCTCAATATCTGGGCAGTAGCCATTAAATCAAATTCAATATAATTACACAGAACAAGTTTTAAGAAATCTACTATTATTAATAAATATACATAAAGTATACAACATGTTTTGTAAAAGTAACTGAGTTTTTAAAGAGACGTCTATTTTAAAATGATACTCTCTAAGTACATTTTCAGGTAGGTAACTTCATATTTTAGCATTATTTAATTTCTCAGCCACTAGACATAAATTGGACTGAAACAGAGAGAGCAAAACTCTTTAATATATGAACTGTCAGAGGTGAATGATTTCCATACTGGCAACAAAATAAATTTTTTAAAAGGAATGGAAAATGCGATTCCTGTTACTTAAATGGCTGATTATTTATAGACACGATAGAAAATATACTGGTAATTTTGCAAATAAACCAGCATTTCTATTTAAATGTATGGTCAGCTCTGATGCTGTCACAGGCCATGGGCCTCAGTGTTCCAATGTTGAGTTTCCTTGGAGTAGCGCAGAGACTGCTCTATGTTAACAATCAGTAACAGAAGAATCATACCCATTAGCATTTGTTCAGAACAGTCAAAATGGCATAAAATATAGTTTATTAATGGAGTCAGTACCTGTGGTTTACACTTTTCTATTAACATGGCAAATGTTTTCGAAACTTAGCTAGAATAATAATTAAAACTATTCTGTTGTCAGATGTTCAGACTCATACATAGCATGATGTTAGAGAAAAATATAAACAAACATTTCTCAAGTAGTATGTTTTTCAAAACCTTTTAAAATCTACATACAGTGCTCAGTCCCATTATAGCTATTTGGTTAAAGTCATTTATTTTATGTATTCATCTACATTGACTCATTGCTAAATGGGCTTGAGGTTAATGTACTAGATTTAAAAACAAAACCAAAAATGCATAAATATATCTAATACCCTAGCCAGAAGATTCTTTTTTCATTCATTCATAGGTAATACTTTGGCCCCGTGCGCATTGATGTAGGTGATTAGAATTTTGGCTCTCTGCTCTATCACATCAATAAGCTTTTCAATTCCTTGTCTACCTCCTTGACTTTCCCAATACACTTTATCAAGAAACAGAGACTGAAGGAGTTTCTGCCGTAAGTGCTGGCTCTTCAAAACAGAAACTGCAGAAGCGGGAAATCTGAAAAGATAAAATGATATTTCAATCTTAGTAATTGCTTGGGAATAGTACTGTTTACCCAATTGTTCTGCCTTTCATTAATCTGTCATAAATCACATTATCGAGTGGTATCTTCAAGAACCAAAATATTTTTGTCGCTGCCAAGATGAAACTTCTCTAAATAATAATAAACTAGAAAAAAGAGTTTCAAGTGAACTGAACATTCTACTGAATATTCTATACTTTCAGAACATGACAGACATTCTTACCTAAGGTCATTCTATACAGTCAAACAGAGGCATAAAATTGGAAAGGATTCTATTAGACGGCAGAAATACTTTTCTTAGTATTAGGTTCATTTCACAGGTGAAAACCCCTTTAATCTGTCAAGCAGAATGGTATCCTCTGAAGTATCAAGGTGGGGTTTTATGCAAGACAATCTGAGAGAAAAATTGATAGTGACAATTTCAATAAAGTACTCTGCCTTAGTAGAAGTTACACAACTGAATTTAAATGTGAAATAATCAAAATATATACTAAAATGAGAGAAGAATCATTCGAAAACATCAAATTAGAGAAAGAATTGAGGATTTCGGAACATTTTATTTAACTGGAGTATTAAGTTGTTTTCAAATAAATTTAGCAAAACTCAAGTTTCAGAGAAAAGTTTTAGTTCCAGAATGAAAGTCTCTTTGGAAAAACCTAATACCAGTTTAGAGGGGTCTTTGCTGGATTACCTTAAAAGAGTGCATTGTGCTTGCTTTTCTTCATTTAGAAAGTAGAAAGCCAGGATTCCAGCATATACATTATCTGAAGGACTTAGCAAAATTTCTGGATCAAAAACATAAGTAATATTTTGCTAAATCCCCAATTTGACATTTCCCGGCTTTCATTAAAATGATGACAAAGCACAGTAAAAATAGTTTTAATAGTAAATTTCTAATAAACTCAGTTGTACCTCAAAAACTGTAGTGAGAACATATGTACTTGTTTAAAGTATATATACTTTGCCAGAAATTTTAGGCCTTATAAGCACCTCTTCCAAATTCCAATGGAGCACAATGGAGATGGCACACAGGGTTCCTGAGAGCCAAGGATCAGGTGCTCTAGCAGTTTGATGCTGCAGAAAAAACAAAGTCTCAGTGCTGGACATGCTTAAGGCTTGTGATTAAGCGAGGAATGAAAGAATGCTTATACGAAGCTCCGAGTTCCCTGAGGACATTACTATATAGTTTCGGCCCTCAACTTTAAGGGCTCTAGCATTAAGTAGCAGTTTTGCTTTATGAAGTATTCATAATCCATGAATTGTCAGTTCTATAGCCCTTCAACTAATTTAGCTGTGGCAGAATGTATGAGATGGAATTGTTAAAACCACTGGATCTCCTTAGTGACTAATCCTTTTCATAAAGGAAAGCAACAATCTTACCTGTCTCTGTACTACACTGCTATAATAGGAAGAATATTCAATGCATAAATCTAGGATTAGAAAAGTCTTCATTTTTGCCTTTCAATATATGAATTATATTTTCAAAGAAGATTTAACTTCAAACCCATTACTCCTCATAATGCTTTTAAATAAATCTTTGAAAGAAGAAATAAAGATATTCACATTTACATGAATGTATGAAATGGATGGACTGTGCTCTTTAGGCATTCTTAATTCTAAGAGGGAATTTAGGGATTTAAGAAGACCCTGTAATATCAACTTAGTAAGTGATGTCTTAGGAAAGTAAGTTTTTCTAAACATAGCATGAGCTTTGTAGGTGGTATGGGCTGGAGATAGAGATGTCAGGGATGCACTCTGGTTCTGTTCTTCTTGAGTTTGTTTCCCTTCTTGGGTCTCCATTTCCAGATTCCACATTCACAATTACTTTCAAGGGTTAAAACGATCAGATGTAAGATGTGAGTTTTCTCAGAACCTTGCTACTTAGCTAATATAAAAGTGATGTTCTGCAGACGTGGCTATAAAACTTACTCTTTGATGCCTTCTAACAATTTGAAGTTTAAGTTATCCTCACTCCTGTCAAAGAAGCCTTTGTTGTCTATAAAAACCAAATGCCTTGGGTCATGCTTTCGCTGGATAATGTGCGCTAGAGCCACAGAACCTTGGTCGTCACATTTTGGCCTCAATCCTTTCTGTACACAGGCATCTTCCTTGCGAGGTCTGAAGCCACAGCAGTTTGTATCTAAGCGATTATAAATCTGTAAATGGAAAACGCAAACAAAACCAAGATGTTGAGTGAAAACAAAACTTGGGAAAGTAACAAGATTTTCAATGACTAGTGCTTTCTGAATAGCTGACTTGCCAGAATTTAAGAGGATCAGGCTCCTTTAATTAAAGACAACTGTCAGAATAAGTCCAAGGTTCATATCCTTCTGACTCAGTCATGGTTATAAGCATTTCCAGCTTCTGCTAATAGATCCAAAGTCAGATGATCCAAGTTAGGCATCTCCACCCTAAATATTCAAAGTTCCCACTGACATCACATGCAGACACATGGCCAGCAGAATCTCTGACTCCATGCAGAAGACAAGAAACACCATTGCACTTCTATGTATGTAGAAGGTTCTGTCTTGTTTTCTCCCTCAGGTGGTTTATGGAAAATTAGAGTTATTTCATTGCCACAAAAAGTTTATTGTTTCCCCTAGCCTATCTGGACTTCAGTATTACAGTAATCTAACTTGAAATTACATACAAGAAATCTATTGACTAGATGTGCAATCCAATCATGAAAACTAAAAGCACTATGTAAATGGAGGCCACAGCTAGATTCTAAACAAGTGAGCAGGATGAACAAAATGGGCCTATTGAGGTTTATTATGGGAGTTAGGGATACCACCCTATAGAAGAGGGTAACCAGATTATTTAGAAAAAAAAATTGTTTAATTCCATGTCTTTTGGGCAAGGAAAGAAATAATATTTATGAATCAGGTAAAATACAGTCTGGGCAAAGAAATTAGGTAAAATTAAGTCAAATCTCTGCTTTCACACTTCTCAGCTCTGCAACCTTGTGTAGATTCCTTTTCATCACTGACTCTCAATTTAAATGCTCGAGTAACAGGAATGATACTCCTTACCTTACACAGCTGTTAGAAAGATTTATGAAAATATGTGTACACCCTGCAGCCCTGATCCAAGCATCTATAAGACACCAAAAAATGAAAATCACCATGACTCTTATTGAGACACACCTACATACTATCCAAAGTTATTTACCTCAAAACAAGCTTCTAAGACAAAGAGTAATTTGTCTATTTTAAATAAAGAAAAACTCAGCCTCTGAGGCATTACGTAACCTGCCCTGGGTAGAATATCAGTAAATAAGTAGCAAAGTTAGGAAATCTAAATGACATAGATTTCCTTGTCTCCAAAATTCCACGATATTCCCCCCAGTAGTACATTGTATTGAATGGTTTAAGGCTAACTAAAGTTTGTTTGTGTGCTCATGAATCAAAAGATGACTACACAGACACTGCCACTTTAATTCTTTTGGCATTAAATTCCCATCTTGTTCTCCTGTCGTGTTTCTGCAGCTCCCATGGAGCTGTCTAGGAGGCCAGCTGCTTAGAAAGGGACGCAAAAAAGCAGTGCCAAAATTTAGTCTACTTTGGAATAATCATTTATTCATTTATCGAACAAACATTTATTGAACATCTGTATCCTATCAGTGAGCTAGGCACCAAGGTAAATGCCACCCATGGTCAGCACCTCTCCACCATTACCATTCCCAGTGGAAATTGAAATGGTCATTTAGTTTTTTTTAGCTACCACAGCAAGCTTCAAGAACTGGACAAAAGACTTTATTCTTTGCTTTCTGTATATAAACGGACTTTGTATCAAGTAGCATGCTTGAGATCAAGGATTGTAAGAGAAGTTAGCATAAGCCAATTTTCTATAAAGTTTATGTAAATCTGGTCACATGGGTGGCAAGTGAACGCCCAAGCATTTGCACCAAAGGGTACACTGCTAGCCTAGAAACGGTCACAGAAAAGGAGGGTTCTGTCAAGATTGGTTCCAATCTGCTGATCCATGGGACCAAAAGTCTAATCCGTAGTTTATCCAAAAAGTCACAGAGGCTGACTCCAGGCAACAGTAAGTTACCTGATCTAATTCTGAACCACTGCTTGTTAATGTGCATTTGTTTGACATGAGCATAAGAAGGCTTCCCAAAGTGAGCTAGAGCGCCCCAAGCAAATCACTATAGGTTAGAAAAGCACATGCAATGAAAAAAGCACAAATTAGAAACTTTTATACAAATGTATTGAGCCCTTTTTTCTCAATTTCAGTCATTTTATGCAGTACCTTCACTGACTTTGAATATAAAAGAAATCAATGATCTAAAAGAGATTGCACCTGATTGCCAATTATTTAAGTTAAGGTGAGATAGAACATGAAAAATAACTTTTCTAAAAGCTGCTTCCCATCCAATCACCTCTTTTTGAAAATACAGATTAGCTAATGATTCTCAAATAATCTGTATACCATTTTTATCATCATCATTGTTTTATCTAGTTATATTGACATTAAAAATGAAAAACCCTTATACCTTATTTAAATTTGACTATTAAATTGAATACAATATCAAAGTATATTATATTGGACACATGTGTTTTGAATTTAACTCTCAAAGAAAACTCTACCAAACATTCCTTAAATACTTCTTCAAACCCTAAGTTCTTCCATCATTGTGGATTTCATAGTAGTGGGGAAAGGACTAAGATACATAACTACATTTGTAGTGTTTCTATAACAAAGCCATGAGTATCATATATTTATGTTAAATAATAAGCTCTTTAGAGATAAGGCCCTTTCAGAACTTCTGTAAACATTATATATATTCTATTTTTAAACTACATGAAAGCATTAAAAGATAAAGGTGGAAAAGATTGATTTAGGTCATCTTTTTATTGCCCTACCAACTTTAGATTGTTTGCTACAGTGTACTTTTGAAGTGCTTCATCTGATCTAATTTTGAAGCACTCAACAGTCTGTGATGACTTCATCACTTCCCTGACAGACTGTTGTGCCATTCAGATCTAACAGACATTACTATTGAAAACAGGTGTGTGCGTTCAGCCCAACTTGTTTTCCAGAAAATGTTGCCACTCATTTTTTTTCAGATCTATATACATACACACACACACACACACACACACATACACATATATATATATACACATACATATGTGTGTATGTATATATATATACATATATATATATGCCCACCAAGTATATACACACACACACACACACACACACATATATGTGTGTATATGCATATATATATACTTGGTGGACATATATATATGTGTGTGTGTATATATATATAGTGTGTGTGTGCTTATACACACATATATAGCACATATATACATATATACACATATATGTGTGTACGTATATGTGTGTATATATACATGTATACATATATACACATATATGTGTGTATATATACATGTATACATATATACACATATATGTGTGTATATGTGTATATATATACTCTGTGGGCATATGTGTGTGTGTATAGCATGTGTGTGTGCATGCACAAACACTGTGTGTACATCTTAGATGGAAAATCAGCTTGTAATGTCTCAAATAATTTAGATTTTACTTTGTTTTCCTTATCCTCCAACTATAGTAAATTACATCTCTGTATTATTGCCCTTGTCTATCAAGGGCTTATGTACCTCTTAATTCATGTTCTCTAGCTCTTCTCGGAATTTTGTTTATAGCCTTCCTTTTGAATTCTCATTCAACATACCAAAAATAACTTGACCACAAAAACATAGTCTACTCCCTTAAATTCAGTGCCATTTTGTTGGGCAGTTAATTTAGTTCTATATTGAGCATATTTATGCTTACTTTTAGGACAGCTTATCTATTTTTAAAGCCTAATAAAGCATATCCTGCATAGTTATGAATCTATAATATGGTTTTAATATACTTGTTTAGTGCACACATTAAAACAATCACTTAACTACTGCATGATTAAGCACTGTAGTGCACATCTACGTGTTTGTGTAGATAATTATCCTACAAAGAAGGCTATTTGGGGATAAATTTTTGTCAGCTAAGCAATGGTGTTAGTCCTCGTTACTGCCGCTTGTTCAAATTCACATCTTCTCATTCTTTAAAACAGGAATATCTTTTGCAAAACTGATCTTCTGCATCTTAAAATTACTGCCAACCACCATTTTTCATAAAATGACTCTTTCCTTTCTTAGGAAAATACATCTTTTCCATGTTTACCTAACTAAAATTATACTCAGAAAAACCCAGGTGTTCCAGCCAAATTTTTTGTTGGTGGTGGTGGGATATTTTTAGATATATTTCCTTCTTCTACATTTTTTTAAATTCTATTTTCCTTTGGTAGTGTTAGTTTTGCCTGTAGGAAAATATAGTATCTATGAGTGATTCAAATTATGCTTACAGCACCTAAACAAGGGTGCCTCTGCTGCACTGTCTTGGTTCCCCAAACCCATTAGAAATCTGCAGAAACCCAAAGATGTTCCATCCCTATTCACACTACCCATGTCAGCTATGTCCTCAAGGATTGGTCTATCAAAAAATTGTGTCAATCTCTTCACGTCTTCTTTTTCCTCAAAACAATATGATTAAATAACTAATTTCTGGCAATGTTTGGATGAAGGCAATAAAAAGTACCATATTTTTATTTTATTTATATATGTAATGCTGCTAATATTAACAATGAAAAATGTTAAGAGCAGTCATATATTGAGTGTTTAGTATGAGCCGGGAACTGTATACTTAATGCTTCACATGTATTATTTTATTTAATACTCATAGTAACTTTAAGATATTGGTGATACCAATAGTCTCATTTGATAAATGAGGAAACTGAGGCAAAAAGGGCTAACTGACTTTCTCAAGGCCCCTCAACTCTTAAATGGCAGAACTCAGGATTCTAATCCAGATATCTAAGGCTTTAAAGTCCATGTTCTTAGCCATCCTGATTGTATCTCTCAGGTATAGTCTCCAAAGTGATACTGCCAAAAAGGAAGTGCATTTGTGTAGAATGCTAAATGATACTGAATTTAAAATATTGGTTATAAGGGTTTCCTCAGAAATACAAAGAACTTCAGTAGGATTTCAGAGAGAAACTCATGAAGGAGAGGGCATTGCAGTTAAATTTTAAGAGCCAGGTAGTGTTAGCTAAAAACCAGGCAAAGGCATGAAGGTA